TTCGACACTTTTTTTTTTTTGCCACTCCAACGTGTGGGCCAAATGAAAAAGCACCATAACTTCTGTGATTTTTCGCACTGTCAGTGCGAATACCTTTGCAAGGGCTGTCTCTTATACACATCTAGATGTGTATAAGAGACAGGTGTGTGTGTGTGTGTGTGTGTGTGTGTGTGTGTGCTGTCAAAAATCGAGCTCATGTGAGAACAGTGGAATAAGAGGAGGGTGGGTTTGAGTTGAGGTTTTGTAGGTTTTGTGGGGAATCAAGATTAAACAGAGGTGGACGGACGGGCCAGTCAAAACCCACCGAGGAACTGACGTGTGCCGATAGCGTGAGTCAGGGACAGCTGGAGATGGTAAAACTGGGGATGGCCAGGAGACAACAGCAAGGTCAGTGCGGATCCACTGGAAGCACTTGGACCACAGTAGCCAGGGAACAACAGCATTGTTGTACTGATATTCAAGATCAAGACTAGGCTGTGATCGGGCACCATCCAAGTAATTTGTTTTTTATATGGCTCCCACGACCCTGTGGCCTCCCCCCTTCCTACTTTATTCCCCACGTACCTATCTTTTGGTGTGTGCGCGCACACCGTGTACCACAGCTAATCAATTTAAGGCGTGCACTGCTGATGTGCACTGTGTGCACATGCCATAAGTACGGTGTGCCGCTTTGAAGTTTGAACTTTGAACATATTTTTCGCCTGAAAATCTGGGTGCTTTATAATGAATAATGTGGATTCTTCGGAGAGCATCGAACTCCTGTCATCTCTGACCGATGTGGATGGTTATTCGGACTTACTCCCTATATCTAAACGAGGTGGACGTGCATGCAAGACGTGTATGCAAAGCTTTTTCACATTTAGATCGGCATTGCATTCTCCAAAGGTTGCAAATAATTCTGGCTTCAAAAAGCGGGAGTCATTTCTCACCGGATGTAGGAACGAAGCAAATCGATGCAACTGTCTCGGGCATTCGGACAACCTCTGCTGCCTGTCTCACGCCCAGCTTTTTCTTCTCCTGAAATCGCGATCGATACGCATCCGCATGCCCTCTGCCGCCCTATACTAGCTTGAAACCCCTTGCCTAGCCTGGGCACTGGAATGGACCCACATTACCACCTTCACCCGAATACAAACTCCCGGTCATTATTGCTGTTTCTAAACTGGACGTTGGCAGGCGTTTTAGTTGGGTGAAGATGGTAGTCAGAGACCCAATCTACCTCTGGATATCGAATCTATCGATGGGCAAGATGCAGTGTGCTGCCATCGAATGCCATTGATTCTTCGGATCCCAAAGAGCTGATCGATGTGCACTCTTTTGATCATGGGTTTTGCATCCTTGTGTGCAGGTGATGAATTATGTGGTTGATAGGCTGTGTCTGGCGGTGCCTGACGAGGGCGGTGCTGAGCAGCCTGCAGGAACAGCCGCCAGTTCTGCTGCAGCCGGTTCTGGGAATGGTCCGTGCAGCAATGGAGGAAGTGTTGCGGCTGGCACAACTGGTGCTTCAGAACAGGGAAATGCTGGAGACGGTGGAAATGCACAAGCAAGCACAGCTTCCGCAGGCGCTGCACCAGGGACCAAGCCAAGGCCAAGAGGGCCATTAGTGGAGATAATGTGCAATGATCAGGTGGGTGTGCTAAATGTGCAATACTTGTTTTTCCTTCTTTTCTCTAAAATGAAGAAAAACACGCGTATGATCAAATCATGGTTATGCCTGACCGGGACACCAGACCGACCCGAACGTCCCACTGGACCTCTCTGGACCGCTCTGGACCTGTCTCTTATACACATCTAGATGTGTATAAGAGACAGTATATAAACAGACCTTGTTGTATCCAACAGTTGTATGCAAGGGTCTAAGGACCTGTCAGGATGTGATTGTCAGCAAGGAGTAGGAGGTTCTGAAGTCAACTTTGCATTGTAATAGACAAGTGTTTGAACCCCCGACGACTTGATGCCCTGAATCAGGATCAGTATGGCTGCATAAGATTAATGAGTGTCAAAGAGATCCTCTTGTGTGCAATTGTCTCTGTGGTGAAGTGGTAATGCTGTAGTGTAAATATAAGGAGCGGTTAGGGTGTGATTTGCATCGGAGTACATGGAAGTCCTCAAGTGAGCTCTGCATTGTAATGAATCAGGGCTTGTGTGCAATTGTCTCTGTTTAATAATATAGTGAAGTGGTAATGCTGTAACATAAACGTGGAGCTGTTAGTGTGTGCTTGCATCGGAGTACAAGGAAGTCCTCGAGTGAGATCTGCATTGCAATGAATCAGGGCTTGAATGGCGTGAATCAGGACCAGTATAATGTATTATCCTTTCTCCTCGCACCCCTCCTGTTTTTTGTGATCTGCCCAATGCTAGACATTTGGAGACCCTGTCCGGGATCTTACCAAAGAGGCAACCATGCAGTCGCTGTTGCGATTATGGGTGCACACTGCACATCATTTGTATTGTGTCATTTACAAGCTCATGTTCAGCGTTGGTCATGACATTGTTTCCTTCGGTTTCATGGTGAGTTTGTTTCTTTTTTTCTTTTTTTTTTTCGGTGACATTGTGGAGAGTAGGCCGTTTGGAGAAGTGGTTGACGAAAGTTCCTTACATGTGTGCCATTGACATCGGCCGGCTTGGACTTGGTGGTTTATTGCTGTGTGTGTTTGCTACAGGACATGGCAGGAGAGGTGTGTTTGTGGGAAATCACAAATGGCAGAATCAAACAGCGATTCGGGAATGTGAGTACTTTTCCAGCAGTCGCATTCAAAGGTCGTTGGATATGGATGTCATGCCGTGCATGCGCAGGTGTCTGCACAGAAAGAAACAGATGCCAACATGTGGGACCTTGTGCACACTCAGATCTACTGCTGCTCCACTCACAAGCAGAGGCATACACAGAAAGAAATTCAGAGAACGTGACATCCTCTGTGCCCCAAAGCCTTTGCATAAGAGAGAAGAAGGGTAAAAGAAAAAGGAAGCTGATGACTATTCTTCATGGTCAAGCATGTACGCGGTCATACACGCAGAACACATTTCCACAACCGTAGAGTTAAAAAAAAAAAATGATAGAACCGGTGGGCGTATTATCGCTCAACCTTTCATCTTGCTGCTTGCCCCCCTCCTCTCCAGTGATGATCCAGTATTTCTACGCCACAGAATATTATGATCACAACCTTTGCAGAGCATCAATCCCAAAAAAACAAGAAGAAAAGAAATGAAACGAGAGGATGGAAGCCATTAGCAATGTTTCTAGATGATGATGATCTAACTGTCACATGCCCAAAAACAATCAGATGGGCATGGTGCAGAAGCCAAGAACCGACCAAAGGAGAATGAGCAAATACAATGCAGTGGAAGACTGATACACACAGATCTTGCTATATTCAACTCAAACGGACTGCAACTCACTCATCATCAATCAATGCAGGGATGGGCCATGGCGCTGCACACATAGAGGAAGAGCGTCGTGACCAAGATCATACACGGACGAGGAGGAGGGAGGAGAGACAAAGAGGAGGCAGAGATGAGATGCTGTCAACCAAGTATAATCTCCCAAAAATAACCCCAATGTCTCGGTCCGGATACGATGTCCGAGTCTGGGCAATCGCCCCATGTTGCCAAGTCTCAACTCTCATAGTCTCTCTCTCTTTCTCTCTCTCTCTCTCTCCCCCTCACACACACACACACACACACACACACACACACACACACACACACACACACACACACACACACATGTTCTCATGGAAGAAGAAGAATCGGAGGGAGGGAAGAGAAAGGAGAGGGATGGAAATGGAGGAGGAGAAAAAGGAGAAGAAGAGTCCTCGATGTCTCTCAGTAGCGGTCCCAGATACTGACCAGTGGAAAGGTGTCGTTTTGGAGCTGTAACACCCCTGAAGACGAACTGAAGCTATGGCGCCAGGTAAGTGCTGCAGGTAGGTCTCTCGTAGCTGGCCTCCGGTGTCAACCTCCTGTGCCAACCTACTCTTCTACTGAAGCAGTGCTGTCCAGCAGCGTAGTATTCTCAACCTCTAACTCTGCGTGCCGAAGAATGAGGCTGGCCCTGAACCTGAAAGGAAAGGGATTGGCGCCAAAACTGAACCCGAAGGGACAAAGGAACTGGTGCCCAAACTGAACCTGAAGGGACAAAGGGGACTGGTGCCCAACTGAACCTGGCCTACAGGAACGGCCACTGGGCCTGCATCGGCCTCCAGAGTGCTGCCAGAAACACCCGGACTGAAAAGAAAGGGACTGGCGCCCAAACTGAAGCTGAAAGGAAAGGGACTGGCGCCCAAACTGAATCTGAAGGGACAAACGGACTGGCGCCCAACTGAACCTGGCTTGAAGGAATGGTCACCATGCCCGCATCGGCCCCCAAGGTGCTGACAGATGCATGTTGACTGAAAGGAAGTGAATCAGGTAGAAAGGTGAGAACAGTGGAATGACTGGGACTTAACCAAAGGAACCCCTCTAGATGCAAATGACCCAGGAGGAGAAGGGCAAAAAACCTAAACCCCTAAACCCATGCTGCTGGAATGCGTGCATACCACACTAACAGAGCTGAAGTGACCTCTGTAGTCTTCCATTGGAGCTGAAATTTTTGTTCACATCTTTACACTCTCTCTCTCTCTCTCTCTCTCTCCGATCGGCACTCCTCCTGGCAAGCTATAGAAGGCCCGTCTGCGTTTTTAGTACATATACAGATTCCATTTCACATGTCATCGCACTTTCTCGGCGCAGGGCAACACAATGTTGGCCTTAAATGTGGTGGCGCAGGAGCAGAGCTTCAGACACCATACAGTGCACCACCAAAGTGAGAGCGCCACAGTAATTAAGGAGTAGGGCCTATCGTGCTATGTTTGTTCCGAGAGGCCACGAGCCCGCCCATTCTCAAGACCACGAGCCTCTCTAAGCACGAACATCGCAGCAGTGGGGCATGGTGCCAAGGCCCAAGGATAAATAAAGTCTTATGCACAGTGTCCCTTAGGGACACTCTTTAGAGATCATGGCCCCTGACATCAAGAAGCGGTCCTCTTTCTGGTGAAATGAGTGTGAAACCGTCAAAACAGGGGGGTGTTGGAGGGGCAGGGCCAAGGGGGGAGGAGAAGCAAAAGCAGAAGAAATGACATTGTGAAATTGATGGAACTGGTAATGGGTATTTTACTATTTTTGCAAAACTCTTCATCATGGGGGATATATTGCACCGCATACAACTGCATGCCATGTATTCGGGGCAGTGGGTTGGACTCTATCCCGAGAGAAACGTGATAAGATCATGAGGGATCTTCCGTCCAGGGTGGTGTTTGGTCAAGTCAAGCTTTTAATCCACGACACAGAGGGACAAAGCGTTAAAGCACACCTCGCAAGGATTCTCGACAAACTAGGCAAGGAAGTAACTGCGACAATTGAACTTCCTATCATAGATTGCTCTCTGATGCTCCTCCTTGTGCACACCCGCAGGTATCGCTCGAAGAGAAGGAGAAAGAGCTTTTTGAAAAGGTGGGTTCCTTCAACATTGTGGTGATCCTTGAATCAGTTTTCTTGTCTTCTAATTGCTGGAAGGTCATCATTGGTCGACTCCTTTGTGAAAGTGTTTAATCTGGTTTCGTCAGCGTAGTACTTGAGTTATTTTGTCTGTCTGGTGCCCTTGAAGGGGTCCTTTGAAATGAGTATCGTAGTATGCTATTGCCCGGCAGTTCGAAAAATAGTTTGTGACACAAACGTTGTGTTAAACATATGCCTGCTGGGTAGAGACATTTCAGTCCACGATCTTCAGTGCCTGTGATTCTCTATGGTTTGCTCATTGTCTCGGGGACCTGATCTCAAATCCTGGTTTGGAACAGTCAGATCGGATCCCGTGCACTGTAAAAAGTATTGTTGGTAGCAGCACCAGCACGACTTGCAGGCTGTTTTGAAGTCTGCAAGCGTGTTGTCTCTCGGAAGTACATGGCAAGCATTAACAGAGCTTGGGTCTTCAAGGACCTGCAGTCGATCTGTTTGAAGGTTGGGTCCAATCCATTGGGCCCAGCAAGGTGTACCATGGACTGGAAATTTCTTGCTATACTAAGGGTGCTGCTATGTGGTTGACTCATAGGTTTCATCCTTGTGCAGGGGCCATGCTAATCTTCTCTGTATTGTTCCAATATTAATGAATGTCCCAAAGAAGTTGGAAGAACTCTTCCCTGTGGTTTCGTAAGGAGTGGTGTCTTGTCTTTGTGAGAAAGACGATGAGGTTTGTCAGTGGGTTGGGTTTTGACAGTGCTGGATTCTTCTGTGTAGATTTTAAGAGTGTGCTTGGGATCTTCGCTGGAGTGCAGCTGCATTGTATGTGGAATTTGTGAATGAATCTGGTGGTTCACAGACAAGGTACATGGTCCTTAAAGCACCTGTACATGGGCACCMCCTGGGCCGAGGTGTCAGCACGAAACCCGCCGCACTTCGGAGGCCGCCAATTTTCTTTTTCGACGGGGCCCCACGCCGCGCAGCCCCTCTGAGTTTTGCTTGTGGCGACAAAAACTTTCTGCAAGGCTGGGGCCGTGTACTTGCAGTTTAAAGCACCAGTACCTGGGCACCTGGGCCGCGGGCCTGACACCTCAAATTCTGGAGGCGAGAAAAGAAGACGCGACCGTCGATCGAATGTATCAACGACGGGCCCAGCGTTTGACGTTCTGCCCTCGTTTTCTTGGGGCGACAAGTTTTGGACTGCAAGGTATATATCCACGATTGACGCAATATATTTTCCGGGCTTTGTCTTACAGGTCAGCGTTCCCTCTTGGTTCACAATGGACACAAGGCTGGGGAGTATCTCTGTGCACCTCGACGTCCCTCAGTGTTTTGCAGCGGAGATGTATGCCATTGATCTTTGTGTACCTAGCGCAACGGAAGAGATGAAGGTAGGCCCCTTTTCCCATTCATGGTTAAATTCTACGCTGTTGGCTATTTCATGCAACAGATGAAGCTCGTCCGCGCCACAAGACATCACACAAACGAAAACGTATGCACTTTTTTTTTTCCTTTGTTACGTTTTGCATTATGGTTTCCAACTCAGCATTGTATTGGTTTGCGTATCTGCTTCAGGCTTTCCTCCTCCTGCAAAGTGACCGGCATCTGACTGCTGTTGATGCGAAAGAATAAGGAATTCTGAGATGTTAATGTTTGTGGTGCTGTCGCATCTGCTACATGTGCTGGTGGTTGATGAAGCTGAATCTTGGGGAACACACCCTGCGTGGGTTGTTCTGCCACTGGCTGGCAAGGAGGCAGCAGCGGCTAATCGCAGAAGAGCAGCAACATGTAAAGGAGAGACTGCAGATGTCAAATGGAACAGCAGCATCCCGCGAAGGGTCGGAGGAAGGATCAGTAGATGGAAAGCCATCCGGCAGGGAGGCACAAGCTGTTCCCTCAACCATGCATGGGGGAGGTGGAGGGGGTGGAGTAGGAGGTGGGGGAGGGACCGGCACTGCGGCATCTAGCGGTGCAGCTGCAGGGTCGACAACAGATCAGGCAGATGGTCCTTTATCCGGAGTCTTGCCAGCATTTGACTTTCCTGCAGAGTGCCCACCGTCGATCATCACAGAGGGTTCAGCTGAAGTACCATGGAGAAAGGCAATCAACGAACTGGACGGCACAGAGGATGAGAGGGACATTCCTCACTGGTGTTTAGAATGCTTGCTCCACAAGAGGTTCCATCGCGAGCCATCCAACGCCAAGTGGGTTTCCTTTTGCTGATGAAACAGTTTTTTTTGCTTTTTTCTTTGTTTGTTAATGCGCAGGGACCATGCTGATCTTCTGTGTGATGTCTGATTGAGAATGCAACCGTGCTCATCTTCTCTGTATCATTCCCTTTTTTTTTTTTTTTTTTTCCAAAGGCTAATTCTTTAAGTCCAACCAATTCAGTTACCTGTCGAATCTAGACAGGATTGTCATTAATACTCATTATAGTATTACGAGGAACCCCGTAGCAGCCACATCCATGCTCAAGTCTCCAACGAGGGAACATGTGGGAGCTGCATCCACCAGCAGGTACGATACCTGCCACAGCAGGTGGGCTATACCGGCCAGGGGTCAGCCGGTAGCATCAGGACCAAGCTTCTTCGATGGGCCAGTCACTGTCCCTCCCGCCCCCTATGAACATTGGCAGTCTCTGCTCAATGCCACTCGGGGGGATCAACGGCATATCTCTAGGTGGCGGGCGCCAAGCCTACCCAGGAAGGTACATGCGGCCAATGGGTATTGAACCAAAGACCTCCTGAATGCCACTTGCGTGCCTTACCAACTGAGCTGGGCCGCTGGATTCTCTGTGTCATTCCAATTGAGAATGCTGTTAAAAAAATAATAAATAAATAAAAATTGACACTGCTGTTATCACAGACCTCTCTCTAGTCCTGCAGATGTTTTGTTCAATCCTTGGAAACTGGTGGGGGCAGCTGTCATCTGGGAGTGACACAGCATAAATTTTTGTCTAGTGATACTGCATAGACTACCATGCTCCGTTCTTAAAATGCACAACGAAGTTACAAACTGAAATAATACTGCAAGATTAGCATGGCTCCTGTCTGAAAATAAGATTACCATTTTCAGGGGGTGCAAAGGACTCGTCTTTTTTACACAATGACCGTGCTCCGCTTGGGGAGGTTTAGCTCTGTTGTCATGTATACATGGGTCCCTGCCACTTGATCTGAAAATCTCACGGCCACACTGTGACCACGATGAAAAGTACACGAAACCAGAATTAAACCTCCCCAAGCGGGGCATGGCTTGGGAAGTCCATGCTCTGCTTTGTTCTTTCGGGCCAGCGCCGTGTGCACCCCCGAAAAGAGTGCATACTGGGAGTGGATGCTGCCCAGAGAGGAAATAGGCAGGCCCTGTTGCGCACATCGGAGTACGGGCAAGCTCCCTCTCTAGATGTGTATAAGAGACAGCTCTCTCTCTCTCTCTCTCTCTCTCTCTCTCTCTCTCTCTCTCTCTCTCTCTCTCTCTCTCTCTCTCGTGCGCGGCGGCGTGCACACGCGTGGCGTACCAGCCTACCTTGCGACTCGACTCCTATAGTGCTGATCCTCACATTAAAGCAGCCTGTTGGCAAAGTGTAGCTACTAACACTGTCCTTAACTGTGTGCTCGGCCCCGCTGTATACGGCTCAGCCGACCTGATATTTACCGATTAGCCCTCGACTTTGGGATCACATCTGGTCTGATGCTCCAGGAGGATTGCTAAAATCGTGATCCAAAGGACCAGGCCAAGAAAACGGCCAGTCTGAGTCCCAGCTAGGCATTTAGGCTAGCCTGGTGCATCCGCAACTGTTCCTACGCCAGCGGACAAAAGAATGTCCAGTTGTAATATGGACAAAAAATCTCCAGTGCGTAAAATTGCGAAAAACATGCGGACGAGTCCACCACCGCCCCAAATAGGCACGTGTGACATTTCTGAGTGTGAAAATCTCTGAAGGTGCTGATGCATGTTGTCCCGCGCTTACTACAAGTTCTCAGTGCATTTCGCATAGCGTGGCCCAAAGTGCTGTATCACAGTGGTGATTTTAGCGAGTTTTTGTAGACAATGGGGGTTGGTGATGAGGAGGGTGAAATGATTATGATGATGGTCACGATGAATGCGATGTTGGTCGCCTGATAGTGATGATGAGGACTGTGCGGCAGAGTTGACGACAGGTATGTGGCGGTGGGAATCCCCTTCTCTTTGAGAGTCCATTGTGTGGAAGTGTGGCTCTATACCGATATTCAAATCTCATAATCTTGATAGGAGTTCTGTATCAGGAAACATATGATGATGAAGATGATGATGGGAAGGAGGATGGTTTACGCAGTATAGAAAACATTATGTGGGTGATCATACCTATGTAATGACTATAGACTGCACGTGTGATGCAAAGCTCAACCATGATTCCTGCGGCGACAACAACACTAGTCCATGACGTTCTGTCATGTGCATCGTGTGGTTCTGAAAAACAGCATATTGGCAATTATGATGACAAAAGCATGAGACGATGACTTCTAGATGCTCTGCGTGTCTCGGTTTCCAGCCTATAATGTGCCTCTTCGGCCCCCACCCCCCCCACCCTCCCTCCCCCCCGTCTTTTGTTTTTGAAAGGAAAAGATGTGTTGAATGTCAATTTTAACTAGTCCCTGCAATGGCAATTCTTGCAACTTTTCAAGGGACGGGGGAGCAACGGTGAAGAACTAATATGAAGAATGGGAGTCGGAAAGAAAAACACTAGGAGGATATCACATTAGAACTTTTTTCACTTAGCTCTAGACCTGATCACGGTCAGATGCATCTATGTCTGGCCGTAATTGCAGTGAGATCAATTCAATTAATAAATGGCCTACCGTCTTCACCCGAATACAACGCTCGGTCATTATAGCTGTATCTGGACTGAAAGGTGCACCGAATACAGCTTTAATGACCGGCCGTGTTATTCGGGTGAAGACGGTATTGTGAGTATGCCCAGAAACTCTTCAGGCCGTGATCCTTTGCACGAATTATTCTTGCAGCTGACCCCTGACATTCAGCAACGACTACAGTCCAGTGTATTTGTGAAGTTGGGAGTGGCCGGGTTGTGAAGAGTTGTTGAATCGAGGGCTTGTTCACACTATAGGACTATTGTTTAGTTTTTATGGACGTAAAAGTCACGTAATTGAGAGCATGTACCTCCAGGTCCGGCCGTAAATGCAGTCAGATTCTGTGAGAGACATTTGAGATTAAGCTAGTGTGAGTACGCCCTGAGTGATTTTTTCTATCTGTGGTCTTGCAAAAGGATAAGAATGGAAAAGGAGGGTTGGTGCAATATAGCATATGTATTCTCATTGTGACCTTGTCAATCAGCAGATCAGATTCACTTGTCTTTTCTTTTTTTCATTTGATTTTAGTGATGATACGAGTTTGTGATTGCGTTTTTTCTTTTTCTTTTTTTGTTCGATGTCTGCAGGCCCCTCTTCATACAGAACCAGCCGCTACGATTGCTGGTAGTGCTGGTATAGTGCAGCACTCAATATTGAACGATCGACGGCATGTGCTCACAAAGGTAGGTCAGCAAAGCAACATCGAGAAGCGAAGATCTTTTGTGTAGTACAGTCAAATCTGGCAATGTTCAGTGATGCAATATGAATTGCAGATTAGAAAAATGAACGCCGCACAAACTTTGCATTGTAATAAACCAGTGTTCGCACCCCTGACGTCTTGCGGATAATGAACACAGCACAAACTTGATCACATAAATATATACATATATTGATGAGCCGGTGAAAGTCCAACGAAACAGTTTGCCACAGCCCCTCGTTTGTTGTCCTCTTCTCCCTCTCTGCCTACGTTTTACCGGGCAGCTCTGTTTGACTATATCATATATATATAACCGACAGTCTGTAGAGTTTTCCATCTGGTGTGGGTGAGTGATAGTCTACTTTGATTTTGGTTAAGGTAGATTATCATTTACAGTGTAATTAGTGAGGGGATTCTGCAGACTGTCGAGGTTTCAGCCTCCTGATGAGTCGGTGAAACTCCGACGAAACAGTTTGTCACAGCCCCTCGTTTGTTGTCCTCTTCTCTCTCTCTGCCTANGGGTGCTGGGGGGCGGTTTGGGGGTGTTGGGGTTTGTATGGGGCTATTGGGGGGTTGAATGGGGGTATTGGGGCGCTGGTGGGGTTACTTGGGTTCTGGAACCCCCCCCCAAAAAAAAAAAAAAAAAGATTTCTGCGGGGTGCTGACGACCAGTCAAGGGCGCCGACTGTCGGGGTATGCAACACTGGTGTACGGTGCTTTGTGGTGGCCATCTGACTCAGCCTGAGGCTGAGTTGGTGCAACCCCAACAAAAAGACTGCCTTAGCTGGACTGAGAGGAAAAGCTGGATCATGGGTGGCTAAATCATCATGCAAAATGTGACTAAGTCATGATGCGAAATGTGGAAAGAGAAACAGTATGATGCTTTGTCTGCACGCCCAAAGAGAAGAGAGGCTGGTGGGAGGTGGACTATTAAGTTATTAACTGCTCATCTGCTGAGGCTTTCTAAGTTTATGTTATACATTTTGAGGCTGTTGGTAATAGTTTTCTGGGTAGGATTTCCATAGATTCCCCAGGGATGAGAGGTACTCTCGGATAGAGACGGAGCATCTTACCTCTTATCGAGTTACAGGCTTTGTTTCCTATGCAGTGTTGCTGAGCTGGCATTATGTGGCTTCCTTTGTGATGTGCCAGGTGTACAGGACGGATTTGGCGACGAAGGAGAGCATTCTGCTATTTAGGGAGGAGTGTCCAGTGTTAAGGATTGCTTTGGAGGATGATTCAATGATGTGGGTGTCAACAACGGACTCAACAATCCACAAATGGCCTGCCTCGGACCGGGGGATCAGTTCAGCACAACGGCGTGCCAGTTCATTTTCGGCTGTGCCACGAGCCAGACAGTGTATGGAGGTCTCTGGGGGTCCGGTATGCTTGCTGGCTCCTTTGTTTCTTGCCTCTTCATGTCTAAACATAGCCTGGTAGTCTTGCTGGCCCAGTATTGTGCTTCGGCTGTATTGCATTGTTGTCCATCCTCGCTTTTGAGATTCTTGGTTTCACACCAATGCTCATCTGCTGATTGCCATGCAACAAGCTTTTCTCTCTCTCTCTCTCTCTCTCTCTCTCTCTCTCTCTCTCTCTCTCTCTCTCTCTCTCTC